CAGTCTGTTTTTAATTTTCGGGAAAGTAAAGAAATCCTTAGAACTTAGATCGGGACTAATATGGAGGATGGTCCAATAATTCCACGTTTCTTCCGTTCTTAAATACAGCCTTGTTTTTTGGGGTGTTCGATCTTGCATTGTCTTGGTAGAGGACGATTCTTCTTTCGGGGTTGATTTTTCGAAGCTCGGTGATGACTTTTGGCAAACAAATGGTGGTATACCAATCCGCAGTAACAGTTCTTTGCTCATTAAGAGGAACTGTTCCAATATGACCCGGTTTTGACACAAATGTCGCTACCATCTTTTTCGAAACACTTCGAGAACGACTTTTGTTGGCTTTTCTTCACCTTGGAACACCCAAACAGCCGACTGTCGTCTATTTTCTGGTTCATAACAGTAAATCCATGATTCATCACCACTAACAATACTGTACACATTTTTTGAGTTTTCGGAATTCAAACGGTCAAGCGTTTTTTGACACCAATTAACCCTGGCTGCTTTCTGCTCTTCAGTCAACAGGTGGGGTATCCAACGAGAAACTAATTTTCTTACTCCGAATTCTCTTCATGTAAAATTTTTTGAATTGAGGTCTTTGAGATCTTCAAGGACGCCTCAATCTCGCGATATGTCACATGTCTGTCTTAATGATGAGTTTGCGCACAGCATCGACGTTTTCCTGCGTGACTGCCGTTTTTGGTGCACCCACCCTGGGATCGTCGCTAAGACTCGCCCGTGTCCACGTTTGAATTCTCCATACCAACGGGAAATTGTCGACTGATGTGGCGCTTCGTTGCCGAAAACAGAGAGTAACTCAGCAAGGCATTCTTGTTGCGATAATTGTCTCTGAAAGTTGTAATAAATTATGCCGCGGAAATGTTCTCGGTTGAGTTCCATTTTTCTAATGTGACACTTAAAATTCACTGTAGTCAGAACCCTTTACGTATTGTTGTGAAACTTTGAATTTCGGTTTACTAAAGAGTGAGGTTAAGACTCAGAACTGACGTTCGATCCGCGCGGCCTACTATGTTTCTATATGCAAAACTTAAAAGACATCCCTTGTACACCTATGGTATAGTTATCGACTGATAGCGCTTGATGAGAGAGATACAATAATTTTCATAGTCGCTGCCATATGGATATCAAATGAAAGGGATTGATGAAAGTAACACAAAAAACAAAGTAACGTCATTCAAATGTATTATGGCGGGCGTTTAATATCACAATTGACAATGCAATATTATTAAGACATGGAGCTGATTTGATGATGAAGCCAGGAAGTGGCCAAGGAAACCAATAGAACAGACCCACTTAATTGACAAAGACCTTATGTGAGTTATTCTCGTTTTTTCACACATTCTTATTTATATTAAATTTGGCAATATATTCAATTTCTCAGAAAAATAACTCACTTTTTAATGTATAAATTCATTATTTCTGACTATTTTCTCACTACCTATTTTTGAAAATCTCACTTAAATTCATCCTTTGGACTACCAGCACCCTTGAAATATGGGATCGTAAAGTTAGTCTGTCGAAAAATTTAGTACTCTAGTTATAACAGCTGAGGAGATGCGATTTGTCAAAGTTAAGCGTTTTTTTCGATAAATTGTTCAATATCTCAACAATTTGAAAATAAAAAAGAAAACAGGACTTTGAAAGTTATCCAATACAAGTGGCGCCATATATTATCAAAACTAGCGTTGGATTGGTACATCTTTCATTGATGCCCTGCGTTATAGAACAGAAGATTTACCCCTACCACTAAAGAAGAGGATCGAGTTTCCCTGGATCAGCGCTTTGCCACATCCAGTTTTATTTTATTGTATTCAGAGTTAGTCAGTCTGTTGTTAGCGCTCATACTATATACATCAATAGAATTGTATTTTTGATAATCGAGAATAAATCTTTTTAAAAAGCAAGTAGACTGACTCGGTCAGATAATTGGCGCAGCCAGATCGGATTTTCGGGCTGTTTCGCGAATCAATCGAGACCGCGAAGCAGTTTTCGTATCGACGAATTTACCGGAAAAAACGGCCTACGGACTAAAGACTTTGTTGAGTGGGAGTTCGAGCGGAACCGGTCTATCGAAGACTGCAGCTACCACCTACGAAGTCAGGGATTTGGACCACACATCGCCCAAATCTGCAAGCGGAACATTTTGGAGAAGGACCAGATCGCCCAACCAAGATCTTCCCCTTATAGTTAAGCAACCAAGTAAAGACAAAGAAAGAAACGTGATGCACTTGATCATCCTCGTATTAGCGTAAGTGCAACTATACATTTTAAATGTCTTTGGAAGATATTGCAGAAGCTATAGATAATTTGACACTTTCAACAGACTCACCTATTTTAAGACCACCTAGATTAAATATTGAAAATATTCCAAACATGTCTCAATTCAGACCAGAATTTTTAAATTGCGTCCCAGAGTTTGACGGAAATCCTAATGACTTAAATAGGTTTCTATCAGTGAGTGAAACATTAATTGCAAATTTTTATGATATACGGAACCCACATAATTTCCAAAATATCTATTTGCTAAATTCACTGATCTCGAAATTAAATGGAAATGCTAAAGTGCTTGTGAATATCCAAAATATCACAAATTGGGCAGATTTAAAAGACATTCTGACTAGGAATTTTTCTGATTAAAGAGATGAAACTTGTCTAAATCGTGATTTGGTTATGTGGAGGCAAATGAAACGCCTCAAAAATTTTATGATAAGTGTCTTCATATTTTGAATCTGCTATGCAGCCATGTAAACGTACATGAACATTCTGAAGAAGCAAAAGTGTTAAAAAGAAATTTATATCAAGAATTAGCTCTGAAAACATTTTTGTGCGGACTACGAGAGCCCTTGGGTACAACAATTAGATGTATGAAACCCACATCTCTCAGCCAAGCTTTACAATTCGTTATATCTGAAGACAATGTCAGCTATTTCCAAAATTATAACAAAAATTTTGGAAAATCACAAAATCTGCCCCAGAATCAAACTTCCAGGCAATGCAAAGGCCAATGATAAATCAAAATAGACCTTCATACTTTCAGCCTACTAATTATTCATTCAGTCAGCCGAACACTTCAACATTTCAACCTAGGTTCAATTCGACTTTTCCGACTGGACCTGTAAATTTGCCAAGACCAGTTTATCGTCCTCAGAGATTTCCGACGAATTCTCAAGTTTTTAGACAAACACAGAATAACAGAAATGTTTTCAAACCTAACCCTAACCGTACTTTACCACAAACTACTCCAATGAGTACTTCTACTAGAATTTCTTTCAAACCTGAACATAATTCGACAGCCCAGCAACAACCAAAACCAAATTGGATCGCTGAAGAGCTATTCAATACAGGGATAGAAAGTAATAACACCTATGAAGTTCCTGGTAACGAATCCTTTGTTTGCGATCAAACTGTAGCTGAACCACAAAATTCAGATACATATTTCACTGATCAATCTTGCGAGTATTATACACAAGATATTCCTGAACTGATCACGTAGAACCACCTCAAAATTTTCAGAAGGACTCATTCATAGAACACAAGACCTAGCACCAGAAGTACGGATCTCCACTAACATTTACTAATAAAGTCAAACATCAAATAAAAACCAAAAACGAAAGGCCCATTTACACAAAATCGTATCGCTATCCATTTGTTCACAGAGGCGAAGTAAATAGCCAAATACAAAAAATGTTGGATTCCAATATAATACGTCCAAGTAGCTCAGGTTATAATTCACCTATCTGGGTCATTCCAAAGAAGCTAGACGCTTCGGGCAAGCAAAATGGAGAGTTGTAATTGACTACCGAAGTTTAAATGAACAGACTATTGACGATAAATATCCATTACCCAATATCAACGACTTGCTAGACAAACTTGGCAGATGCCAGTATTTTACTACCCTTGACTTAGCGAGTGGTTTCCATCAAATCGAGATGGAGGAAACAGACATAGAAAAAACCGCCTTCAGTACCGAAAATGGGCATTGGGAGTTTCTCTCGGATGCCTTTTGGCCTAAAAAACGCGCCCGCCACATTCCAACGCGTCATGGATAATATTTTAAGGGGGATACAAAACGAGAAATGTCTCGTATATCTCGACGACATTATAATTTTTTCTACATCCCTTCAAGAACATATTGAAAATTTAAGGTCAGTTTTCCAACGACTCAGAACTTCTAAATTTAAAATACAGCTCGATAAATCAGAATTCCTTCGTAAAGAAGTAGCTTATCTCGGACATGTAGTCACACCAGACGGCGTTAAGCCAAATCCAGATAAAATTATTGCCATCCAAAAATTTCCGATTCCAAAAACGACTAAGCAGATTAAAAGCTTTCTCGGACTTATTGGTTACTATAGACGTTTTATTAAGGATTTTGCGAAACTCACAAAGCCTCTAACTAAATGTCTAAAAAAGGGAGCCAAAATTGAACACGATGCAGAATTTATTGACTGTTTCGAAAAATGTAAAAATGTTCTTATGAATGAACCGATACTCAAGTATCCAGACTTTTCTAAGCCATTTAACTTAACCACGGATGCGAACAACGTAGCCCTTGGTTGTGTACTTTCACAAGGCCCTATAGGACAGGATCTTCCTATCGCCTATGCTTTGCGCACGCTTAATGATTCCGAACGAAATTATAGTACGATTGAGAAAGAATTACTAGCAATAGTCTGGGCGACTAAATACTTTAGACCCTATCTTTACGGGAGAATCAATCTAATTACTGATCATATGCCCTTGAAATACTTATGGTCCCTTCGAGACCCTTCTTCAAAATTACTAAGATGGAAAATCAGGTTAGACGAGTATGATATGAATATCATCTATAAGAAAGGCAAACTGAATACAAATGCAGATGCCCTGTCTCGTGTAGAGATCCATACAAAAGAAACCAGTTCATTTTGGAACGACTTAGATGATTTGATTCAAGAATGCGCGGGTACTCAACACCAAAACGTTAAGTTTGACCGACCAGTTCAGAAAGGCTCATCTGAATTAAGTACACCTACATTTAACTTTTCTACCCCAAAACAACCTGATACCGAATCTATGTTCGTAAACGTCGATAATGACGAAGACAGTCTTTTTATTCAACCCCCGGACGAAATTGTAGATATCATTGAACATGAACCAGTCAATCTAGAATATCAAAATAATCGTCCTGAAAATCCAGACGAAACTGTACATTCAAATGCGGACCAACACCCCATTCAGACTATTCCTATAGTTGATTACGCAGTTAATCAGGGAAATAATCAGATTATCATAAGTACAGTAAAACATTCACCTGCACCACCAAAAATTTCTATTTTATTTGAAAGCAAGCAACGAATTAACGTACAATTTTCAGAAAATGATTTTGACGATGATGTATTTAAATTTATTCGAGATTATATTGCTCCTAACGTCATTTATCACTTGTACTTTGAAAATCCAGATATATATGAAAAATTTTCTGTTGTTCTACAAAGGATGTTTAAGTCCGATGCTTTGAAATTCAAAATGTGTAGAACCAAATTAGTCGACGTTACAGATAAAACTGATATCAAGGACATTATCCGGAATTACCACGAAAGCAAGTCGAATCATCGTGGAATTGAGGAAATGCATCAGAGAATAAAAAGAAAAATATTTTTGGCCTAAATTGAAAAAATCAATCCAAACATTTATAAATGAATGTGAAATTTGTCAACAATGTAAATATGAGCGTCATCCGATAAAAATTGCTATGAATCTCACCCCCACTGCATCAAAACCTTTTGAAATCGTACATATCGATACTTTGACTTTTGAAGGTTCAAAATTTCTCACAATTATAGACAGTTTTTCTAAATATGCTCAAGCATATCAGATTACTTCGCTTTCAGGAACTGAAATTGCTGATAATCTGATATTATTCTTTTCTCATCATGGAATTCCTACCCGAATTATCGCAGATAATGGCACTGAATTCAAAAATACCGTTGTAACTGAACTTTTGTCACTTCACAAAATTAAGCTTCATTTTATTTCGCCAAATCAACAACATTTAAGATTGTTGAACACAGAAGGCTTTCAGAAAACCCCTATAAAAATGAAAATGTTGTATGCCGTTTTAGCCTACAACCACACCTTACATTCTGTAACAAAATTAAAGCCTATCAATGGACATATTACGTCGAATGAACCATTCGATATCAAAATCGACCAATTACTCCTCAATGACTATACCAACAGCCACAAAGAGCGTACAAAACTATTGTATTCAAAAATAAATCTGATCTCATTCAAAACAAAGAGAAAACGCTAGAACGCGTTAACAGAGATTGCGATAGTCCGACTATACTTGATAACCGAGAAACAGTATACGTCAAAAAGCATGTTAGAAAAAAGCACGCCAACAAATTCTCAAAGCCGTGCAGACTACAAAGTGTTAATACGGAGAAAAAGACCGTCGCGACGGACCAGCACGGAAAAGTGCATATAAGTAATTTGAAACGTCCGCTACGCAAACTTTATTCGTTTGACTAAGCCTCGAGCAATTAGATAAGAAACTATGTATGTAATCTACGTTTACTTTACTCTTAATTGCACGCTAAAAATAAGATTTTCTTTCGAATATATTATTTTACAGGTTCCCAGGAATCATAGGAATCCATGGTACGATAACGTTGAAGAATTTAGAAAATAACCTAGGGTTGATACCCATGAAATTAGGGACCGCCAAAATTACAAAAAATTGTCACTCAATACTGTATTTTTACGACGTCAATTTAATAATCACTGAAGTTAATGACCTTAAGAAAAAAACTGAAAATATTGCGAAATTATCCAGGAAATATATTGAGCACTATAAACACTCAGCAAATTACCTCAATGTTTTGTATTTCTTAGAAAGAAAAGTAGACGGAAAGCTAAATGACATTTTTCCCTCTACTTACGAAACTGTTCCATCATTCTCTGTTAGAATAAAAAGGGGATTAATAAACGGCTTAGGTTCAATTTTCAAAGCAATCACAGGAAACCTGGATGCTTCAGATGGTGAAAAATTCGAGATATCATAATTTCAGTACTCCAGGATATAGAAAACTCACTTACTTTTGCAAAATTGGGAATTATGCACCCCAGTGTAATCAAACCAAAACATTTACTTCAAGCACTAAATTCAGTAGCATTAAAACTATCCACAAAGCAACTCCCTTTAGAAGTTACTTTGGATAATATCCCGATTTTTGAAAAGCTCATTAAAATCAGCTGTTATACAGTTGATAGTAAAATAACATACATTCTTCAAATTCCAATTGTTCATACATTCCAATTTGATTATTATCACTTATATTCAATTCCAACCTTTCATAAGGGTCTGTTCAAAGTAGTCATCCCTTCTAGAAAGTATCTTGTAAAGAATGAGTTGTACTTCGCTTTTGCGGGAGACGCATGCACGGAAACGGTCGCAAAACAGTACGTTTGCAAGGAACTAGATTTAAGAAGAATCAAAGAATCCAATCCCTGTGAAGTTCAACTCCTGGTACAAAAAACTCCCACTACCTGCCGAGAAGTAGAAGCCGTAATCACAGAGCCAGTAATGAAGAAAACTGCATGTTTTCGGACAATGGATCTTGCTTATACCCAATGAAACCACCATTACATTAAGCTGTCAAGAAGGCCAAGAAACAGTCAAAGTTTTGGGATCCTACTTAGCCGAAATTCCAGTCGGTTGTACACTGGAACTAAATCAAGACCTGATCGCCAATCAAGAGCCTATATCGATTGGAAGTCAGCCAATTATTTTTCCAAATATAGATAGCAATACTTCAATTGCTACCAAGCCGAATGACTTCAGCCTTCATCTAGACCAAATAGAATTTGATGAAGTTCACAAAGTAAAAAGAAGATTAATAGAAAATCGTGTTGACATCCATTCACATAAGGTGTCGCACATTCCCAGTTCTTGGACAATCCTGTTGTATGGAGTACTGCTGCTGCTACTTTGCTGTTTTGTCTACAAGAAGATCATTCCGAAGACTAAGCCGAAGAAACCACAAAGAACCCCTATTGAAGAAGTTGATCTTTCCAATGTGCAACTTCCTCGTTAACCCTCGAAGTTGCATCTACAAGGGGAGGCGTTATAGTACAGAAGATTTACCCCTACCACTAAAGAAGAGGATCGAGTTTCCATGGATCAGCGCTTTGCCTCATCCAGTTTTATTTTATTGTATTCAGAGTTAGTCAGTCTGTTGTTAGCGCTCATACTATATACATCAATAGAATTGTATTTTTGATAATCGAGAATAAATCTTTTTAAAAAGCAAGTCGTCTGACTCGGTCAGATAATTCCTGTCAAAATTTCAGGACAATCGAACCACTCCACGTGGAGCTATGACGTTCAAAGTGACAGTACGTTTTAAGCATCGGTCGAAAAATCAGCATCGAACAAAGAGAAAACATTAACTTCTGTGTTAAATTTGGTAAAAAATTTACCGAAACGCATCAGATGTTGATGCAAGTGTATGGTGATGATTGTTTATCTCGTACTCGGGTCCACGAGTGGTTTAGACGGTTCAAAGAGGGTGGTGAGTCGCTGGAAGATGAAGAACATGTTGGCCATCCAAAACTTGTGATTTCGCCAGAAACCGAAACAGTGCGTGAATTTATCAAAAATGATCCAAAATCTTCATTGAGATGCAAAGAAATGGAATTAAATATCTCGAAAGGTTCAATCCCCTGTATTTTGACCAAGAATTTGGGCATGAGAAAGGTGTGTTCACAGTTTGTACCGCACAAGCTCACAGATGACTAAAAATTGCTTCGAATTCAACATTCGAGAGACATCATTAAAGAGGCCAAAAAAGACAAAAACATTCTGTACAACATTGTGATTGGGGACGAAACGTGGTGTTTTCAATACGATCCTGAAACCAAGTGTCAACGTGCCGGATGGATGCACCCAAGCGAGCCAAATCCGACAGAAAGCTGTTTGGAAAAGTCCAAAGTGAAGACAATGCTGATTTTTTTCTACGATTCGAAGGGAATTATTCACAAAGAATTTGCTAAACCGGGCCAAATGGTTAATGTTGTATTTTATCTTGGTGTTATGAGGCGTCAGCTGTCGCGTATTCGTCGTGTTCGGCCAGAATATCGCGAAAAAGGAAGCTGGCGCTTGTTGAACGACACTATTTTGAATAAATAAATTCGATTTTCCGAAACAAAAAATGTTTGTTCATTTTTTTATTTGTCCTGTTTACTTTGCGACATACCTTGTATATTATGCTGTATCAAATTGCATTATTTGATAGGATCATATCTGTAATAAAATGTAGGTCGTTTCAATAAGAAAACTGTATACCTGTGTCACCACGTAGTTATGGATAACCTTGAAGAGATAAAATATTTTACAAGTAAGGAGCATACAATTTTTGTATTTAACTTTTTTTAGATCCCATGTGCAATAACGTTAGTTATCGACCTAACTAAACTAAAAACTCGCGCTGTATATACGGTGAATCTTTTGTATTTTATGTCCCATATTACGTCCTGGATGTAATCGCCGAATTACCAGTAACCGCGTCCACTTTATGAAACATTTTTGCGAAGTAATGATCAGAACTGCCAGACGCTTTAAATAAGGTGCGCTGCTATACGTTGTCCTACCTGTAACTTTTTGTTTATGAGCGTTCAGAAAAAATGTTTTATACTAAACTTTATAGTCTCAATATGAAATTTTCCATTCACTGACCTCCATGATTGAGAAGCTTCAGATAATACGAGTAATGTCACGCACATACTAGATATATAATAATCGTTACACATTTAGGTGTGTAAATCTTAGCTCCAAAAATATGATAACATCAACCATAATACTACTCACCACTAGTGTACAGTGGACAAGGTAAATAAAACATATTAAGCTACCACGGTGCTATAGTCAACGTCGGTGGTGGATGATGGTTACTCATACGAGGTGGGCGCAATACTATCTGTATACATGAATATACAGTGTAATTTAATGAGGTGACTTGATTTTGGGGGTAATATTCACAGTCAGTTTTCAAAAACTGTCGACAAACAGCAATAAAAATAAAAACTATGAAATGTCTTTTGTCTGGGGAACTTTTCTCGGTTTGAAGTTGGTGTTTTTCCAGCATTCAAAGTACGTATCAAGAGATATTATAATGTCATCAAACATCAAACATTGACAGTTTCACACTACAGCTGCAACGGAATATTTTCCATGAAAAATGATGATTGAGCACAAGAGATGAAACGTCATTGTGTAACCATACTCATGAGAAAAAGTGCTAACGAAGTTTAAATCTCAACTCAAGTAAAGTGGGAAAATTCAGTTTTTCTCGTCTATTTTCGGAAATACTCAGAATTTTGAAATTTTTTTAGTGCCATTCTCTTAGTTGTCCAGTCAGTTCCGTTGACTCTATTTTTGAAATTGCAGGCGCGCGACGATCAATATGAATGGGAATGCAGGCAGAGGCAGTTGCAGAGAGAGCAACGCCACAGGGAACGAATGGAGGAAGAAAGGATGCGACCGCCGTCACCTCCACCTGTCGTTCATTATACGGATCACGAGGCAGCGGCCGTAGCTGAGAAGATCAAGCAGGATGAAACTTTCACGAAAGCTGTACAGGTATGCGTTCGTCATTTCATCATTTCAGCCCAATCTAATTGACTGTGATATTGACAAATGGTTTTCACTGCCTGACTTGCCATTGTCACATATTTGTGTAACAGTACAAGGTTCGAATGGTACCGCGCAAAACCAACAAACTACAGGACTGCCTTTTGTAGGCATTCCCGCTCCCGAAAAGATGTCTATCCTCCTCAAAGTCGCACGTCATCCTCGATTAGAGATCACTCAAACCCACCCAGAACCACAAATGCAGCATCTACGTCGTTAATGGGTTCGCAATGTCAGAAATCGATACCTCAAAGGTACCATATTGTTTTTTTTGCGAGAAAATAATATGTCACCACAGTTTGGCCTTAATATTGGTTGTTTGTTTGTTGAAAATTTATTTAACAATGCTACAATCTCAATTTTGCATAATTAGTCGTTTACACATTTTTTGTAATCCATTTTCTTTAATTTTACATTCTTGTCTATTAAAACTACATCACTATGCATTTTTAGTATTCATAAAGTTATCTTTTAATTTCACCTTAAACATTTTTAAATTCAACTACTCCCTTTTGAAATACAGATTTACTAGTTATGCTACTATTACAATTTTGCAGATGAAAACCTATACTGCCTCTAGTTTCGTAGTTATGATAATGACTAATGATAATTTAGTGAAATATTCTAAATGTGGTGGTAATAAATAATTTTTTTAATTTGAATATCAAAATGAGAACTAAATAACATGAATTTTTTACATACAACCTCTGAAGTTCTTTCAACATAGACTTAATCTAATAATATATGTTTTTATTTTAAATGATTCTCATAGCTTTATTTTGTAGACTTTGCCATTTTGAAAATATGTATTCATTTGCTATAAACAAGATGGTTGATCAATATAAAAATTAATGTTATACACAATTTTTTTGGAAGGCATACTAAGATTATGGGAAACTCTATAGAAATAATTGTGCTTTTTTGATATTTTTGAAATAATGTATTCCTAATGTTTTTGAAACATTAGTAGTTACTATCCACATATAGTCGTATACCCAGATATTTGAATGATTCGACTACTTCAATTTTTTCATCATTAATCATGAGCCTAATTATTGTATTGTCACCTAAATGTTTCCCTTTTGACACACATTTTGTTTTATTAGTGTTTAATTTTAGTTTATTAACATTTAACCACCACAATTTTTTTAATATCACTATTTAACAGTTCTGAAGCAGTGTCCAAATGTTTATGTCAATGTATCGTTAGCAAATATTTGAATTTTGCAGTGTTCTACATGAGAAAGATATCATTTATATATATATAGAAAATGATCACGCGGAGAAAGGTATATATATATATATATATATATATATATAACAAAAAATAGGAAAATAATGGGCAAAATCAGCAAAAAGAAGGAAAGTGGATTCAAGCAGAAAATAGGCTAGGTAACCCGAGCAATACGTATTTCTACTTGTTGGTTTCATCAGGCCCGAAATGAATGCACATATTATGCACACAGGTTAAACCCTTTTCCGTTGTGTCAGTGAAACAGGCTTCTCTTCAATGAAAGGTAGAGAAGAAGTCTCTGAGCCCCTCCCAGTCGACATGTCCGTAATGCCAAATTTTGCGGCCTGTGCGAGTTTCTGCTGCCACAGCGGGTTCTGACCGAAACCTAACCTCCACAACACCGTGGTCTGAATTACCCAGGGGCGACAGGATAGCAGTGCTGTAAGGGACAGTAAGAGCGAACGCTTCAACTGCACGACCTGCTGCATCGGTCTTGTTTGAGCCCAGCCAAAGCTCATTATGGGCATTGAAATCACCGAGGAGAACTACCTCTGAAACGGGGTGATTGATGTTCAAGAAGTCGATCTTGACTGCGCGGTGTTCAAGTAGGTCATCCCAGTTATGGTCCGAGGGAGAGCGTAAAGACAGCAAATAAATTTGGGGATGTTTTAGAGTTGAGGCGAAGCCACAGAATGTCCTTCGAGTCTGATCCCAGAGAAATATCTCTGAAACAGAAAAGACTGCTGCGGACAAAGGCCACAACTCCCCCGTTCTTTCTCAGATTTGAGTGCACCTCGTAATTTGGGAAGTTAAGATGGTTAATCGGTCTGAGATTTTTGTATCCGCCAAGAAAAGTATGGCGGGACGATTGAATTGCACGTAGTCATGAACAGCATCAATGTTGCTGTCAATCCCGCAGATGTTCGTGAAACAAATTTTATCTTCGATGTTGTTCCCTCGGGTCCACCCTCCACCCGGACATTCCGAGAGTGGAGTGAGTTTACGTCCAGAATTCTTAGTACTCGAGGGATCCATCATCATTAATTTCTTTGTTTTTGTAACAATAACAAACCATAAGTAAAATCTGAAAAAATCACCAGTCGGCTTGGATATAACAATCATATCTATCTTTAAACCTTAATCAAAATGGGTCACAAACTACAGAAGAACTGGAAAGACAGCTGTTATTCAAATTTATGTAGGCTTATTTCTCTATAGTTTTTTTTGGAGATTTTATCCTTTTTGTATAATAGTTTGTCTTTACGTACACTGACCAACCTTGCCCTAGTCCGACCACGGTTAGCAGCATTTTCCGAAACTTCGTCAATCGTGGCTGCATCAACTCTTGAAGAGGAAGAAAATGTTTCAGAGGACAAGGTTGCCAGGGACGACGCTCTTTGTGGTTATGTCGAAGAGAGAGGAACCCCAACATTGTTCGAGTAGTACCGCATCAGAAGTCTGTGTCCCGGACAGTACAGTCAGGCGTATTTTGAAGAAGTATGGATACAAGCCATTTAAGTACCGAAAAAACGCAGAGATATTTTCCGCTGATCATACCAGGAGAATAGAGTTTTGTGATTCCATGAGAGAAATCGTTGACAACGTTGACCGATTTCTACAAAACATATTGTTTTCGGACGAATCCAGCTTTTCTTTTCATGGACATCATAATCCCCAAAACCTTAGGAATTGGTCAAGAGAAAACAAACATTCAAGTTTACCATTAAGGACGCAGTATCTCAAAAGTTAATATTTGGGTGCCTTTTTCCATTAATGGTACCTTAAATTTTCCGCGTTATTTTCCTGGGCATCAACCTTTATGATATTTGGTTTCAAGAAGATGGCTGCCCTGCTCACAACGCGTGAGAGGTTCGGGAATTTTTTGAAGCATTTTTTCCCGGACGCCTGATCTCTACTCATGGAAACATACAATGGCCAGCGGGATCTCCTGACTTGGCGCCCAAAGATTTCTTTTTGTGGGGATATGTGGAGACTCGTTTTTACGGTTACCCCCACGGAAGGGCTACCACTTTGGAGGAGTGATTGTTGATTTCATTTTGATTAGAATTACAGTCCCGATAATCCGAACAATATCGGACCGACCCCTGTTCGGATTACGTGATTGTTCGGATTGACCGGAGTAACGGATTAGCTCGGTCATTGACAATTTTTCATACTAAACATTAGTGTTCTGTTCTGTAGTTTATTCCATTTTAAAATTTGTACCATAACTTGATGTACAGTGCGTAAATATTATATGAAGAACTGTTTTGAACTAAGGTTTACACTGTTTTATATTGAAATATTCACCGATTTTCGTCCTTGAAATAATAAAATTTTCGCCGCGGAGCAGTTCGGATCAACCGGATGTTTGGATTAGCCGTGTTCGGATTAGCGGGACTGTACTGTATTTATTTATTTCAATTTTGATGCAAGTTAGTGTTTTAATTTCTTTTACAATTACTTTTCATTTCCTCCTAACATGGAAAAGGAGCGCTGTTACGACCGACCGGGAATCATTTCTAAACAGAATCGACACAATTCAAAAATGTGTACGCTCAAAAGAAAACCATTATTTGGGCGTAAAGAATAAACTTACGCATATTTTCAGAATGCGTCTTAATTCAAGGAACTGGTGTAAGACATTGGCAACGCGGCAGATTACACAACCTTCTGCGTCAGCGTTGCTAGGCAACGTGGCGATGAGCTTCGCTATCCAGCCGGCTTCTATCTCTTTCTAACATATGTGCCTTACACACTCCTCGCTCTTCTGTCTCGTACACATTGAACTCGCGCCCGTCAGTCAAATTTGGTCCTTAGTGTATAATACAGAGCAATTAAGATATCCTGTGAAATTTCTTACTACTCCAATATTCTTCCACTATACATAGTGCTTTTCCTTTGCAGATTGTTATAACCTGGCTAGATAGAGGTGACTGTAACAAAAGGAATGTCAACACCTTTTATTCAATGATTCAATCTACGAACTCGCACATAAGGCGTCTGTTGAGCGAGAAATCTCAATATGACGATGAGCTAAGAAAGGCTAAAGAATTGATGAAGGGCAGAATGCAGGGAATTTTGCTACAGTGTAAGTAGTTATTTTATATTGAATTTGGTTCTTTTCGGGGGTACAGGTCTTTTACAATATTGCACACCTAAAGTATAGCAAGGTTACTGCTTCCAGTACTTTCATCCCAATTCACTCAACATCTATTTGATATGGTTTCAAAATCGGATCTCCCTGCCATTAGAATGTCTGTACAAAAAATAATTTAACATCTAAGATACTTGTTTGCTTAAGTGCGCGTGAAAAATATACTCGCAAATTGCTTGTTGTATAGTAACATTTTGAATAGTACGAGGTTAATCGCTATGCTCCGTCTCTGAGTAACCTTGTTATCATCTAGGATGTGTAATAATAGTGATTCATTCATTGGATGTGTCGTTTAGTAAGTATATTCGATATCTCAGGTTATTTCGATATAGGACAAGAATAATTAAACTCATGGGAAATACGGGTAATATACAAATACGAGAGTTGTTTCAAAAATAAGGTTCTCACATTTTTTCGAGCTCAACGAATTTTTTTATTTGAAAAAACGAATGTACCATTGGAAACGTTGATCTTTCAGCTATTTTTCTACATAGTCGCCATTTTCTTTTACGCATTTTGCAGACGTGTAATCCACTTTTGAACTCCCGCCTCAAGGAAGTCCGCCGGCCTCCTGCTCCGTTGTTCATCGTGCGGCCGTCAGATAACTCTCTTCACCATTTGAGGACATGTTGAATGGTTATACACGTTTCCCCAAATATTTCACCAAGTGGCGACCAATTTCTATTTAGCATGCAAAAATTGGATGACCGCACGAATTTCGCAGCAAGGGCTCCATTGCGTATGGCTGCCAGGCCGCTACTGAGCGTCGCCAGTAGGCGCTTGTTGTTGTGATCGGTGGTGCGGGAGCCGACAAACAAGACGGTGTTGCTAGATTTCGCCTAGCATCACGCGCGGCAAAGATACACCGTTAGGAACCTTATTTTTGAGACAATGCTCGTACAATGATAGACTAGTTCGGGCAAACATAGTTGATGAACCCTTTTTTATCCTATAGGTGCGATTACACTGTTTCGGTTTAATTAATAAATAATAATTAAAGATTAAACCTAAATATATTCTCCTGACTTGGAAAATATGCTGCTCTCAACAGGTTGAGTAATAACTAAGTGGTAACACAAACATGCATTTTTTAAACGGGACATCTTATATATTTTAGTATATAGTGGTGAAATCTATGGACGGACGCCAACGGGACCAACTGAAAGTGTCCGTTGAAAAGGGGTGTCCGTATAAAAGAAATACAACAAAAATCGCATATTAATGACAACTAAATATATTAAAGAAACTGGGACATGTGAAACGTATATGAGTATGCATGTTTTTAAAATAAACAAAAAACTTCAAACTTAAGGTTTACCTCCAGATATATACACAGTACATACATATACAGGGAAAGTAATAGGACTCATTTTATTCCGCCATGACTATACTTCGGAGCGTGCGCGCACCGACTTGATTCGGTAGAGGGCTAACGAATGAGCGACTGGTCAGTTGTCTCCGAGCACTTGGAGAGTCAGGACGCGCGAGGTGTTTCTGTGAGCGGTGCAAGCCGAAAATGCAGCGTTCGTTAGAGCAGAGGTACGCGATTAAATTCTGTTTGAAACTCGGTAAATATGCGACAGAGACGTTTGATATGATCAAGCAGGCTTACCCAGGTGTTGCTTTAGCAAGAAGTGGTGTGTTTCGGTGGCACCAGGCCTTTTTGGAGTGCCGTGAAGAGGTCGCTGATGAAGACCGTGCTGGAAGACCTTCGACTTCGACAATCACCAATAATGTGACTCGTGTGCGCAAAGTTTTGAACTCAGACCGTCGACTAAGTATTCGTTTAATTGCCCAGATGTTAAATTTACCAAAATCTGTGGTTCATAACATTGTG